AGGGAGGGGATGAACTCCCTGCAGCTGTTACAATCAGTGGCTTTGTGAAGTGGCTAATTCAAAAACCACTACCTTTTAAAAGATGGGCGGTCCACACCTAGGTATATGCCCTAAAGAATTGAAAGCAGGTGTTCAAACAAAAACTTATACACAAATGTTCACAGCACAATTTTTCATAATAACCAAAACGTGGAAACAACCTAAATGTCCATCAACTGATGAATGCATGAACAAAATGTAGCTTGTTCAAACAATGGAATATTATTCAGCCATAAAAAAGAAGATACATGCTACACTATGGATGGATCTTGAAAATATACTAAATCAAAGCACCCCAACACAAAAGGACAAATACTATATGACTCCACTGATATGAAATGTTCACAATGGGCAAACTGATGGAGACAGGAAGTATATTTGTGGTTGCGAGGGATTCAGACATGAGAGTAATGGCATGGCAGCTTTTATCCTTTTGGGGTGATGATAATATTCTGAAATTAGAAATAGTGCTTGTACAACATAGGAAATATATTAACTACCACTAGATTATACACTTTCAAATGGTTAAGTTGGTGAATTTTAAATTATGTAAATTTTACTGTAAATTTTTAAAAAGAAAAGATAGAAGGTGGCCCATCCAATCCCCATCTACCATGGCCACTGCGCTGAGTAACCCTCCCCAAAGGCTTTCCCAGCTGCCCGTCCCCACACTTAGCACAGAGCAGGCAGGCCCTGAGAAAGAGCTGGGGAAGGAGGAAAAATTTATTCCCTGTACTTTCTCCATGAACATGAACCCCTTCCCCTTCCCCCTGACCCCCTACTGAATATACACTTATTCCCCCTCCAATCTTTGCCCTCATCTCCTCCCATACCCCAGGACTCCCCTACATCCCTCGCCACCCAATTCCTGCAGCTACTTCTGTGACCAGTGCAATCCTTCCCTGACAGGATTCCTCGGACCTCAGTCAACACAGCTGGGGTTTCAGCAGTCTAACCATGCAAGCATGTAGCCCCATTTGCCCTTCTGAAAAGCCCAGAGATGTCAAGAGCCATCACCTCCAAGCCCAGAACACAGCAATTCAGACACCGCCCATTGGTCCTAAGCCCAGAGTTACACATGGGTTTCCCCCAAGACACCTGAAGGCCCCATGGATTCAGACCCAGTAGGGATCACCCAGATAAGTCTTCTTATCTCTAGGAAGAAGACCCAAGTTTACCACAAAGAGGTAAAAGTCAAGCCCCACCTCCCAGTCCGCTGGATAGCCAGACTAATCTATTATCTCCAATCAGTTCCAGAATCCCTATTGCACCAGGTCCCCTCCAGCTGTCTTAATTAAAATGGTAAGGAATCAATAGAGATTGCAATTATAGAAGGAGAGAAAAACAGAGCCGGTGGCTCCACCCCAGCACATTTCTGGATGAATACTGCTAAGGTCAGAGCTGAATTCTGGCAAGTACAGAAACGATCCCAGCAGACGCTGGGCAGGCAGCTGGAATCACATCCACCACGCCGAAAGCAACACAATTGCAATGGAGTCCTGGCTGACCATCCATGTATGACCAGCCACCTTGGTCAACACTGATGTGGGTAGAGGGGTTTGGAGCAAACACTAAGCAATTACAGAATCAAGGTGATGGCTGGCTCAATTAGGGTCCCTAGAAGGCAGGCTGAGGAGGATCAGAGGACCCAGGATAAACAGAAAAGGACACCAAGAGGTGGTGTTCATGAGGACATTTTTTTTTTTTTGAGACAGGAACTTGCTATGTAGCCCAGGATGGTCTTGAACTTGAGATTCTCCTGCCTTAGCCTCCCTAGTACTGAGATTACAGTTGTGTGTCACCACAGCTGGCTCTTCTTGGGCACATTCTAGCTTTCATTTCAGGATTGGAAGTAATGAGCAAATTCAAAATTCCCATGGCTACCTCCAGTAGATGGAAAGAGGGAGGTAGGACAACTTCTCCTGCCCCCTCCTGCCTTCTGTCAAAGACCCTCATTACAGAGACCTCAAATTTCTATAATCCCAAACTTTGGGTAAAAAGAGGTACAAGCCCTACAGCCTCCTCTCGGCCTCCATGGAGTCAAGGAAGGAACAGGACATTTTTAGGGGGACAGTCCATGAATGCTAACAACCAAGTCAACTAGCCTGCTCCCAGCAAACCCTGCCCCTGAAAGGCAGAGCCTGGCTTTGTCATTCCTCTGACCCTGTAAGTAATTTGGGCAAATTACCACCCTGTTCCCTCATTCTTACTTGTAAAAAAGAGGTTGACCTGAATGGCAGTGGCTGGAGCCTCCTTCACTAGGAATCAGTTTCCAGTGCTCAGAAACAGTCTTTATGCATGCTAGCGCTGATGCTTAGTTCTGATTATAAAAATGTACTGTGTATTGCACACATTTTAGAAAAGAACAAAATACAAATAAGAAAAGGAAAATGGGTATGATCCCATTACCCAGAAGAAACCATCAATAGCCATTTTGAAACTTTCCTTGAAGGCTTTTGTTTGTTTGTTTTCTTTTTGTTGTTTTCCTTTCCATCCATATAATTTCTTTTTAACAAATTGGAAAGCCAGGTGCCAGTGGCTCACACCTATAATCCTAGCTACTCAGGAGACAGTAATCAGGAAGATCGTGGTTCAAAGCCAATTCCAGGCAAATAGTTCAAGAGACCCTATCTCAAAAAAAGCCATCACAAAAAGTGCTGGTGGAGTGGCTCAAGGTGAAGAGCCCGAGTTCAAACCACAGTACTGCAAATAAATCAAATTGGAATTGTAAGTCTTTATTCATACGTGTGTGTGTGTGTGTGTGTGTGTGTGTGTGTTTGGGGGGCTTGGTAATACTAAGGCTTAAACTCAGGGCCTTGTGCTTGCTAGGCAGATGCTGTACCACTTGAGCACTGCCCCCAGCCCTTTCTGCTTTTCTTATTTTTCAGAGAGGGTCTTGCACTTTTTTTTGCCAGGGGCCAGTCTCAGACAGAGATCCTTTGACCTATGCCTCCCAAGTAGCTAGGATTACATGCCAGGCTTCATAAAACTTTATATCCTATCTTATGCTGTGAGCATTTTCCCAAATCATCAGACAATCTTCAAAAATATAATTTTAGCCAGGCAGGAAGTAAGCTGGGCATGGTGGTCCACACCTGGGATCCCAGCACTTGGAAGGCTGAGGCAGGAAGACCATGCATTCAAGGCCAGCCTGGGATACACACTGAGACCCTGTCTTGAAAATAATAATAATAATGATAGTAATAATTCTCTTTTCTCAGATGAGACCACGTCTCAAATAAAAAAAGGCCAGGCACAGTGTCTCAAGCTTATAATCCCAGCTGCTTGGGAGGCAGAGATGGGGAGGATAGAGGTTCAAAGCCAGTCCTGGACAAAAGTTTGTAAGACTCCATCTCAACCAATAAAAGTTGGGCATGTTGGTATGTGCCTGTCATCTGGCTACAAGGGAAGCTTAAATAGGAAGATTGCAGCCCAGGCAAGCCCAGCACACATCGAGACCTTATCTCAAAAATAGCTTGTGCCTGCCTAGCAAACATAGGCCCGAGTTTAACCCCCAGACCACCAAAAAAAAAAAAATGAAGGAAATATAATTTTAAAGAATGCATATATTCCAGCAAGGGGATATACCATGATTCTTAAGCATTTACATTGTTTTTCTAACATACATAACACCACACAAACATCCTCACCTAGCACTGTAAGGATTTGCCTTCATCTCCATTTCTTTACAGTCAATTCCTCTAGGTGGAACTAAAAGGTAAATGAATATGTCTTAAAAGGATCTGAACTTGTATCATCATACTAATTTCCAGGAAGACACAAGTGGGAGTGAAGTCTTGGGAGCTGGAGTCAGAATGCAGGATGGTGGTCCCACCTCCCCTCCTCTCTCTTGGGCTTGAAGGTTAACTGCCTGGCGAGAGAGGGAACAGAATTCCAGGTCTGAAGATAAAGGTCTGGGGCTTAGCTTTGTCTCTTCCTGGCTTTGGAACCTGAAACAAGAGTTCATTCTCAACTGTAAAATGGGCTCAGCTGACTACCCCCAAGTTTTCTTGCTCACTGAACAGGTGTCTGTGAAAGTTCTTTGTCAGACTTCAATGCTTCCTGTTAAAGAACTGTCCTCATAACCTGGGAGGGGGGGGCGGTGTGTTGAGGATGTGGTTTTTGTGTGAGCCCAAAGGCTTTCATTCCTATCTTTTAGCCATTAGCCTGTCTCCAGGAACCAGTGCAGCTGGTTCTAGGGATAATGGAAAATGCAGCTAGCTTCCTGAAGCAAAGTAGTTGTGTCTGAAGGTCTTCAAGGACCCAAACAGTGTCTATCAAAAGTCAGAGACATCCTTGGAAGGTGCAAGGCTGAGAACTGGGCCTAGGGCCTCCCAGAAGGTGCTGGGGGATCCAGAGACATAGAGAACAGAAGCTTTCCTGGGAAATGGTAACTGTCCCTCTACTTCAAAGCGCCCAGACCCTCTTTCCTAGGGTTCGGACTAAATGTCTGACCTTTGGTGAAACTGCAAAACCAAGCTGATTCAGTGGATGCAAAACAGTCAACAGCGCAAATGACCCCAGGAGTAAACCACCAGCTCCTGCCCCTTCAGTCCTGAATTTTAAGACTCTCTGATCGAAAATGCAACTAGTGCCTCCAACCTGATCTCACCAGCCCTAGCAGATGAACAGCTCAGCTGGAGGACCTGGACTTGCCCCCATCGGCGCTCTATCCACAGACAAGTGCCCCTTCCACCTCTTCCTGCTACCGCTGCCTAGCATCATGATCTGAGGGGACTCCCGTGACGTTCCCGGTGCTGGCGGGGAGAAATGCGCAGACCCCAGCGAACGCCATCCTCTCAGATTTTCACGGTCACCACCGGCAGCCCCGACCCTAGCCCACCTCCAGACCCAGATGCGACAAATGCACACAACAAGTGGCATCTGCCGGCCCTCCCAACCTCTCCCTACCCTTCCACCTGCGCCCCAGCCCTCAGCTACGCTCGGCCTACGATGCCTACCTTTGAGGTTGTGGGGGTGGCCCCGCGGCGCCCGGCTCGGGTTTCCTCGCGGCAGAGAAGGGATGCTGGAGAAGTTGTTGCCCATGGCATCCGGCCCCAAGGGGTTCTGCTCTGGCGGGGGTCAGGCGAGGCTGGGCAGGAGCCGAGGTAAGGTGTGCAAGTGTGTGTGCGCGCGCGGGTGCGCGCCGCCAGGGGAGGGCCCTGCTGGAGCTGCGACCGGGGGCGGGCGGGCCGCTCCTCTCCTCCCTCTCCCGGCTTCGCGATCGTCGGCGGGTCCTGCCCACGGCGGTGCCCTCGCGCGAGCCGGCTACCTGCCTCCCATGCCCCGCGGCAGGGGCGGGGGCCGCGGGCCGGCGGCGCCCAGGGCTCCCCTCTTCCTCCCGCTGGCGCTGAGATTCCTGCTGGTGGTGGGTGGCGCGGTGACTCCGGCGCGCTCCCCGGGGGCCATAGAGTCAGGGCTCAGCGCGGGTGCTCAGCGGCTCGGCCTGTCCGGTGGCTCCGCGGCTCGGCGACAGGCTCAGTCCCCGCCCGCGGGGACAGCCGCTGCGGCGATGTGCGTGGCGCCCTCCCGCCGGCGGGTCCGCATGGAGCGGGGCTCCGTGGAGGGCAGGGCGTGCGGGGCGCTCCCGCGGTGGTTGATCTCCCCCCTCCCCGGCCGCCGCGCTCCCGCCACTGCCACCGCCCCCGCCGGGTCGCGCCCGCCACCGCCGTCCCCACCCCTCGCTCCAGCCGTCGCCAGGACTCCCTGGCTCCGGTTGTTATGGTGACAGCTGAGCCGGTGAATGAGCGTCTTAGTGACACGCGGGCTCCTGCTCCGGCAGATGTGGCTCCGGGGCGCGCCCGCGTTCCCGGTTGCCACAGGTCTGGGCGGTGCGGGGGCACCACAGCGGCGCAGACTGGGGTTCCAGGGCTTGGGCTTTTTCCTTCACCAAGCAGTGGAACTCGTTTTTGTAAACAAGAGGAACATTGAACTCCCCGATGCGAGGTAGCCTGATGTAGCTTCCCCAACACCAGGTCCAGGTACAACGCTCAGGAGTGAGTGGATGATTGAAGAAAAGGAATGGAGATGGAAGGACCCCAGCACCTCTCCCTCGGCTCTCAGAGCTGAAGGGGGACGAAACAAGCGCTCAGAACAAGAGCCCCAGGCAGAACCACTCTCTGAGCCTAAGACCTTTGGATGCCTAAGACCAGAAACACAAGACACATCCCACGGGCAATCTGGAGGAACAGATCTCAGAAACAAGCATCAGAGAGCAACCCACTCCAGCTCAGTGGTTCTGTCAGCTCTGAAGAGTTTGGAAGAGGAGAATGTGGTCTATGGTAGTCAAAAAAGTCTTCCTGGAAGAAAAGGGCTTTCTGTTTACTCTTCCATCAGTGTAACTCATCAGCAATGTGACCAGGAAGCCTGCAGGACAGGAACAGGAAGTCCTTCTCCTACCTGGATCTGGGGTTATCTCTTTCTCCCAGTGTATAAGGGGGAGAAGATGCTCCAAGTCCTCCCCCACCCCATCCCACCCCCCCCACACACACACACACACCAGCCTTCATGCTCCTCTAGCTCCCTGATCTGCCTTCAGCAACTCTGATCCAGAGTCCATGAAGCCAGGGCCAAAGAGCACCTCATCCATCCCTTTCTGGAAGGTTCTTCCCCCTTATCTCCATGTGATCTTCCCTGACCATCCCAGCTAAAGAACTGCTGCTCTCAGTCACCTTGCATGTGATTATGCTACTTCACTTTCTTCACAGCTTGTGTACGGGTCTGTTTAAAAGTGGCTTTTCCTGCTTGTTTAGGTTCTGCCTTTCCCACTGTAGCATAAGCTTGGTGAGAGGAAGGGACAGGTCAGTCATGTTCACCATAGTGTCCCTAGCCCTGGGGCAGGCACATGACAGAGTCTCAAAAAAATATTTATAGAATGAATAAGTGCCCCTGCCTGCCAGCAGCAGAATTCTGCAGGATCCTTGGGAATTGCAGCCTTCCTCATCTTAGTCCCCTCCCCAGCCCTTACCCCCATCCCATTCCAGGCATCACACCCTTAAATGTCAGGGATTCCAGGCAAGCTAGAAATATCTGTGACAGATGCTCTCTGGAGTATGGAGGGAAAGACAGCCCCTGACCCTGGCGCCAGCTTCTTGGATGACCGGTATTCATGTGTTGGCCAGCTGCACAATAGTTGGGGACTACTGTCATATTTTGGGGCAGTATCTACCCAAGTTCACCCCCCAACTGATGACTCATGCGTCAGAAATCCATGGATTCTGATGGCAACATGCTCACATTTGCACACACACCTGCACCACACAAGTGTGCTCACTATGCAGTTTGCACACTCACTTTTACTCAAGCACACGTGCACATGCGTGCCCATGCACTGCTGTATCCCCTGAAATGTGCTGGAATGAAGTCTCTGTGAGTGGTTTCTGGGATCAGGTTTTTATGCGTCAGAATAAGTATGAGGACTCTGTATAAAGGGTACTAATTCCCCTTGATTGTGTGGAAAGTGGAAGATCCTGGCTGAGATTTGCAAACAGTGACTGGGGAGGCTCAGAGCCCTTCTAAGAGCAGTTTGGCCTCCTTACTCCTGGAAGAGGAGCTGCTGAAGCCTGAACAGGGGTTGGGGTAAATATGAGGCACAACAGGGATGTCACAGGCCCTATATGGCCTAAACCTGGGCTATGGACATCAAAGTGAAGGAAGGAAGTGAGGACCAAAGGCAACTGGGAGGTTCTGTAGCTCAGGGCAGCCTGAGCTCATAGGAGGACCAACAGGGCTGGGCTGAGGGAAAACTGAAGGGGCCCCCCTCAAAGTGTCCTGCAGGTGCCAACCTGCACTGACACAAGCCCAGGAGTGGGATCCCTTAGTGTGGCACCCTATGCTCCTCCCTAGCCTCCCCCTGGTCTTTCTGGGAAGTTCTGGATTGGGGGAGGGGACACCACCATTAAGAGTCAACTGGATGATTTCATGATAAAAGCTCTAAGAAAACTAGGAATAGAAGGAAAGTACCTCAACATTATAAAAGCTATATATGACAAACCTACAGCCAGCATTATACTTAACAGAGAAAAACTGAAAACATTCCTTCTAAAATTAGGAACTAGACAAGGATGCCCACTATCTCCACTCCTATTCAACCTAGTACTGGAATTCCTAGCCAGAGCAATTAGGCAAGAAGAAGGAATAAAAGGAATACAAATAGATAAAGAAACTGTCAAAATATCCCTATTTGCAGACGACATGATCCTATACCTTAAAGACGCAAAAAACTCTACTCAGAAGCTTCTAGACACCATCAATAGCTACAGGAAGGTAGCAGGATATAAAATCAACATAGAAAAATCATTAGCATTTCTATGCACTAATAATGAACAAACTGAAAAAGAATGTATGAAAACAATTCCATTCACAATAGCCTCAAAAAAAAAATCAAATACCTAGGTGTAAACCTAACAAGGGATGTGAACAACCTCTACAAGGAAAACTATAAACTTCTGAAGAAAGAGATTGAGGAAGACTATAGAAAGTGGAGAGATCTTCCATGCTAATGGATTGGTAGGATCAACACAGTAAAAATGTCTATACTCCCAAAAATAATCTACATGTTTAAGGCAATTCCCATCAAAATTCCAATGACATCCATCAAAGAGATTGAAAAATCTACCCTTAAATTTATATGGAAACACAAGAGGCTACGAATAGCCAAGGCAATACTCAGTCAAAAGAACAATGCTGGAGGTATCACAATACCTGACTTCAAACTATATTACAAAGCAATAACGATAAAAACAGCATGGTACTGGCACAAAAACAGACCAAGTAGAACAGAATAGAGGACCCAGATATGAAGCCACACAACTATAACCAACTTGTCTTTGACAAAGGTGCTAAAAATATACAATGGAGAAAAAGCAGCCTCTTCAACAAAAACTGCTGGGAAAACTGGTTAGCAGTCTGCAAAAAACTGAAACTAGATCCACGTATATCACCCTATACCAATATTAACTCAAAATGGATCAAGGATCTTAACATCAGACCACAAACTCTAAAGTTGATACAGGAAAGAGTAGGAAATACTCTGGAGTTAGTAGGTATAGGTAAGAACTTTCTCAATGGAACCCCAGCAGCACAGCAACTAAGAGATAGCATAAATAAATGGGACCTCATACAACTAAAAAGCTTCTGCTCATCAAAAGAAATGGTCTCTAAACTGAAGAGAACACCCACAGAGTGGGAGAAAATATTTGCCAGCTACACATCAGACAAAGGACTGATAACCAGAATACATAGGGAACTTAAAAAACTAAATTCTCCCAAAACTAATGAACCAATAAAGAAATGGGCAAGTGAACTAAACAGAACTTTCTCAAAAGAAGAAATTCAAATGGCCAAAAAACACATGAAAAAATGCTCACCATCTCTAGCAATAAAGGAAATGCAAATTAAAACCACACTAAGATTCCACCTCACCCCTGTTAGAATAGCCATCATTAGCAACACCACCACCAACAGGTGTTGGTGAGGATGTGGGGAAAAAGGAACCCTCTTACACTTTGGTGGGAATGTAACTAGTACAACCACTCTGGAAAAAAATTTGGAGGCTACTTAAAAAGCTACATTGATCTACCATTTGATCCAGCAATACCACTCTTGGGGATATACCCAAAAGACTGTGACACAGGTTACTCCAGAGGCACCTGCACACCCATGTTTATTGCAGCACTATTCACAATAGCCAAGTTATGGAAACAGCCAAGATGCCCCACACTGACAATGGATAAGAAAATGTGGTATCTATACACAATGGAATTTTATGCAGCCATGAAGAAGAACGAAATGTTATCATTTGCTGGTAAATGGATGGAATTGGAGAACATCATTCTGAGTGAGGTTAGCCTGGCCCAAAAGACCAAAAATCGTATGTTCTCCTCATATGTGGACATTAGATCAAGGGCAAACACAACAAGGGATTGGACTTTGAGCACATGATAAAAGCGAGAGCACACAAGGAGGGGTGAGGATAGGTAAGACACCTAAAAAACTAGCTAGCATTTGTTGCCCTAACGCAGAGAAACTAAGCAGATACCTTAAAGCAACTGAGGCCAATAGGAAAAGGGGACAGGAACTAGAGAAAAGGTTAGATCAAAAAGAATTAACCTAGAAGGTAACACCCACGCACAGGAAATCAATGTGAGTCAATGCCCTGTATAGCTATCCTTATCTCAAGCAGCAAAAACCCTTGTTCCTTCCTATTATTGCTTATACTCTCTCTACAACAAAATTAGAAATAAGGGCAAAATAGTTTCTGCCAGGTATTGAGGGGGTGTGGGGGAGAGGGAGGGGGTGGAGTGGGTGGTAAGGGAGGGTGTGGGGCGGGGGGAGAAATGACCCAAACCTTGTATGCACATATGAATAATAAAAAATAAAAATTAAATAAAATTTTTAAATAAAAATTAAAGAGAGTCAACTGGACGCATGTCTGTATTCAGGCAGGGACCTGGAGAGGGTGAATGTGGCTGCATGGGACCCAAAGAAGCTGAGCATGACCCTTCCAAGGAGTCCCACACCCCAGAAACCATTTTCTG